CGCGCTGGCTTCGCCGCCGTGGAGGCTTTCCAGCCGGTCATCGCCGAGTGGGCAGGGCGGCAGCACGGGACCCTTTCCTTCCGACTGACGCAGGTGCTTTCCGGGCACGGTTGCTTCGGGAAGTACCTGCACACGGTCGCTAGGAGGGAACTGAGTCCCGCCTGCCACCACTGCGACTGCAGTGAGGACTCGGCCCAGCACACGCTGGCGGTCTGCCCCGCATGGGCGGCGCAGCGCCGGGCCCTCACTGCAGTCATCGGAGTGGATCTCTCGCTACCGGCCGTAGTACGCTCCATGGCCGGTAGCGACAGTTGTTTTACCGCGGTCGCAACCTTCTGCGAGGTAGTAATCTCGCGGAAGGAGGCGGCGGAGAGGGCCCGGGAGGACGACCTCCACTCGGACCCGATCCGCCGCCGGCGAACCGGGCGGCGGAGGCCCGCCTATCACAGCCTCATGCCGCCCTGAGTGTGGCCGCGGGTGGACAGGGTGGGTTTCCCCTCCACCCGCATTAGTTGGCCAGCCGCGAGGGGGCGGCGTCCGCGTGTGCCGGACGTCGCCTAAAGAGAGGAACATCAACATCGAGACGGAGCCCGCACCAGGAGCGGGCTGGCGCTAGGAGGGGTCCGGATGTCTTAACAACAGCTGTTCCCGGATCCCTCCTGTTACAGGCGCAGAGTGGCACACCGTGTGGTTTTAGTCGGTCCGAGTCCGACACACCACCCCGCCGCAAACCCCGGAGGGGTGACGGTCCGAGGGGATTTCCACACGTTAAAAAAAAAAAAAAAAAAAGGCGGGCCTCCGCCGCCCGGTTCGCCGGCGGCGGATCGGGTCCGAGTGGAGGTCGTCCTCCCGGGCCCTCTCCGCCGCCTCCTTCCGCGAGATTACTACCTCGCAGAAGGTTGCGACCGCGGTAAAACAACTGTCGCTACCGGCCATGGAGCGTACTACGGCCGGTAGCGAGAGATCCACTCCGATGACTGCAGTGAGGGCCCGGCGCTGCGCCGCCCATGCGGGGCAGACCGCCAGCGTGTGCTGGGCCGAGTCCTCACTGCAGTCGCAGTGGTGGCAGGCGGGACTCAGTTCCCTCCTAGCGACCGTGTGCAGGTACTTTCCGAAGCAACCGTGCCCGGAAAGCACCTGCGTCAGTCGGAAGGAAAGGGTCCCGTGCTGCCGCCCTGCCCACTCGGCGATGACCGGCTGGAGAGCCTCCACGGCGGCGAAGCCAGCGCGTGGAGTCTCCAGCCGGAACGACCAACGAGCCATCGTGGCTCGGCGAGCGGCTTCGCGCCACTCGCGCACATCCTCGGGCGGAGGGCGAAATCCGCTCTCCGCCCGGTAGTCAGCCACTCGCCGATAAACTTCGGCGAGCACTTCCGCCTCCAAATCCCACGGGGGAGTTCCGGCCAACGCGCACGCCACCTCCGTCGAAACGGTGCGGTAACCGCGTATGGCTCTGACCGCCATTACCCTCTGAGGGCGCCAGAGGCGTACCCTATTCTGGGCGGTCAGAGCCGCCGCCCACACCGGTGCACCGTACAGTGCCATTGACCGGACAACCCCCGTGTACAGCCGTCTTGTCGCGACGCTGGGTCCACCCATATTGGGCAAAAGTCGCCCTAGGGCAGACGCAGCGCCGACCAGCTTTGGAGCAAGCTGTCGGAAGTGCTCGTCGAAGAGCCACCTCCCGTCGAGGATCAGGCCCAGATATTTCATCTGGGCCCGAACCGGTACGAGGACCGAGTTGACCACGATTGAGGCGCCAGGGGGTGGACCACGACGGGGCCTATAACAAATATATATAAATATATATAACAAATATATATAACGGGGCCTATAATAAAAAACAAGCCTATAGTAAGGTCGCGCGGCTCATTATGTGTCAACTCCCCGGGGATAGAACTTTTTTTCCTATAATCGCTTCAGAACTTGCTTGATACTCGTACAAAATCGTGTATCTGTTAGTGTTAATTTTATAATGGATGCTGTGTATTAGGGATTATTGTATCAGTGTTGTGGCATGATGGATGGCACTGACACCTACTTTGTACGAGTTGAATTTACATATTTTTTTTGTTGGAAAACGTCATTTACATTTTTGGCATATTTAACCTTTATACATGGCCTTAAATCGCTTGGTGTACCTATCATATTATATGTTAACGACTACGTTGCTTGGAAAAACAATAAAATAGTAGATTGGCCATACTTGGCCAGGTTCGACCGGAGTGATACCTCGGCCTCACATATCTATTTTCTGAAGCACGGCGTACAACCCTCAGCAACATTAAAGGTTTTTTATGGTACATAGGTTGATAAGTATTAGTTGATAAGTAATAGTTATTATAAGTAACATTTCATAGACACGTGGTTGGAAATGTGGCACATAGACGATGTCAATACTGTCAGGTATGAAAGATTGACACATTGAAAAATGTTGCCTTGTTAATGTGTTTATCAAACTTTACTTGATTTTTAGTCTCTTTGTGTATGTTGTTTTTAAACTTTTGTTTTATTTTTGATTGATTTATGAAATAAATAATATTATATTCTACAGAAAACCGATGTTAAGGACTTCTTTCGTGTGATTTTCACCGGACGGGTCAGGTCATTCGAGCTCAAATCCCTTTGATTCTTTGGAAAGGACTGAAAGAGCGGCAACGAAGTGACTCTTTGTGTTTCAGGTGTCCATCGTTGGCCGCAGTTACTGTCAGATGACCGGGCTGCTGGTTTGCCTCCCCATGTCATTAAAAAAAACAATAAGACGGCACACACACACATTTGAGTATCAAGATCAGACCAGTAATAAAACTACTGACCTATAAAGGTTATAAAAACTGAGAAAACTAAAAAAAAAGGTTGGTCTTTAATAAAAAGAAAATTATTTTTTTCTTTGCTAAGTTTTGATGGCATTTGTCTTTGTCTATGACCAAATCACAGTAGTGAGTTATCACAGGTGAAATCGCAGTCAACTGTGTCTGATACGCAAGGAGCCAACGCCTGAGTGCCACCACTGCGATGGCCAGACCGTGGACACGGCTCTCCACACGCTGGCAGAGTGCCCGGCGTGGCTTGAGCAGAGGCGAGACCTCGTGGCGGCCATCGGAGTGGGAGTTCTCTCGCTCGATAGCCTGATTGTGGCTATAGTGCGTAGGTGAGGCCACCTGTCACCCTAGCAGAAGCAGGCCGGGGTGGCGTTGCGAAGCGCGCTCGCTTCCAAGGAGCAGAGGGAACATGGGGTTCCCACACGTGGGGGATCGTCTACTCGTCTGTAGATGGCCCGAGGTATGTCGGGGCACCAGGGACTTCCTTTCTAGGGTATACCTGGTTCCCCGGCTATTAGTACCCGAGACGGCGTGCGGTTTTAGTCGGTTCGAGTCTGACATGCCACCGATAGGTGGTATCCGAGGGGATTTCCGCACGGAAAAAAAAAAGATTTGAAATGATTTAAAAGTAGCCATAATTTCCATAACTAATTCTCATATGCATCTATATAATTAGGCTTTCTTAACATATCTAGACTAAAACTACTTAGTTTGGGTCTAGATATGTATAGATATTGATATTTGTATATAGATATTGGGTCTAGATATGCAACATATTCGGAGGACGTATGGTGATCGCAGGGCATCAAGGAGACGTATCAATTGTGTTATGTCATCGTAAATCAAGTGGGATGTATTTTTGCCGCACTCGTTGGGTCGCGAGGCCAGCTGCAAAACCAAGTATGCTGATATGTTTATTTAACAGAAATTTACATACATTCATTGTAATTATTCCGTAGTGCTAGCAGCTGAGAACATGTTTTATAGATGTTTATAAATGTAAGCATTTTCGAAACTGTAAAATCGAAAATCGGTATTAAATTGACTTGACAAGAATGAAGTGCTTTAAAATAATATTTACAAAGAGCAAAACGATTACATAATGCATGGCTGAATCTTTTAACTACATCCTTCTAAGAGGGATTTTAAGACTCATAAGGTTTCTTGGACACAGTCGTTGTAGGCGTTTTTCAAATTAGATAAATATACACAGAATGATATGCACAAAAAAAGAGTAAATAAGAAGTTTTAAACCGCTAGCCTTTCAAAGTATATCTAGAATAAATCATAAAAAAAAAACATTATGTTACGTTTTATCTCAATTCCCATGTTTTTTACTATACCATACCCGCTATTCCGAAAATATCTTTAGAAAAGTATAAAGGTCTTTTGTGTCATGATGTATGTATATGGGTGCTTTCGCATTTTAATTACAAATATATACATATGGAGGTAGCGACAATTTTAGCGCTTAAAGGACCCACCCTTACGCCCGACAACAGAACAACTTCAACAAATTTAATCGAATCGAACTTTGACGGGCCTGTTGGTCTAGTGGTTAGTGACCCTGACTGCTAAGCCTTAGGTTCGGTTCCCACTCAGGACAAATAATTGTGTTAGCATCACGTTCATTTCTGTGTCTGGGTGCAATATATCCATAATATCTATGTTTTAGTAACATTTAAGTATGTTTATCAGCAGTCTGGTTACCATAGCACAAGCTCTGCCTAGTTTGGGGATCAGACTGCCGTGTGTGCGATGTGTGAGGTTATTATTATTATTGTTGTTGTGAGAGTAAAAATCAATAAAGACATGGGCTGTAGATGTGATCTTAAATATGTATATAAATGTAAATCGAAGTCTTAAGTGTGAACCTCCTATTCATTCCCGATATCTCTTTGAGGTCTGTATACTGTGTACCACTGCAAAGGGTTTTAGCTGGTTTCCTTCATGGCCGGCCGCTTGGAATGTAATCGCTTTTAGACGAATAAAAATAACGTTTTAGAAGAAAAACATTTTGATTGAGGGAGCTTGAGGTAAAAGGTACCACAAGTCTTATTTGTGGAACCGAGACTGTGACTGTAGTGGCTCGAGAAACCGATGTCCCTGTTTATCCTATGGATCAACTAGACGATCATTTTGACTATATAGATAGCTTAAAGACTACTTATTGCTTACCTTATTTGTGTAAGGATTAAAGATAAATTTGTTATCCAGTTCTTTCCTCGGCGTCGCTGCTATGACTGACAACGGCGTTGGTAAAGACTTCATCTCCTGCATAAACAGTCGTATATTAGTAAAGTTAAAAGTATTAATAATTGTATTATTTATTTGTGTGTATTTATTTATGGCTGCCGGTGCTTATTTATACGTTGCATTAGTTGTTGCCAAAAGGTAAAGTGGATTAACACTAACTTCTGTCAAAATAAAATCGTGGTCTGTAGCCCACAACTGTTCTCCAGTAAGATATAAGATCAGTGAGTCAGTCAGAATGTTACTTTAGTCACTGACGTCACAAAATTATTCTTAAATTTAAAAATATTCATGTTATATAAGGTTTATATAATAATACAGACCTTTAAAATACTTTCTATCGGCGGTTGACTGCTATCGATAGCATGCTGTAAAGAAAAAAACAGAGTCATAAATAGCGGATCTTTATTAAATACATATATAATGCAATAAAAGTAGGTAAATGGTATGGTATCATATCATTTTCTGTCAGTGTCAACTCTTTGAAGTAACTCCTAAAAATTTCGATTTAACATTTATTTAATAAAACCGAAAGGCTAAAAAGCATTTATTGAGGATTCGTGTGTAGTAATAGGGCTCAAAAATCCGTATCATAAGATTCATATTGGCTTAAAGAGAATGTCCTAATTATAAAAATAAATCAACATTGTCCACTATATTATAACCGTGTATTGACTTTTATATCGATATTAGGGTTTAGCTTTCTTTTCTATAATTTAATTTGACGGAACTATTCACAAATATTACTCGTGGGCTTTCAGTGCGTCAAAAGCATAGTGTTACTGTTTTTTACAAATATTTATCTATTTATTTAACATTAGGCTTACGAACAAAAATACATACTTGATATTTTACAAAAAAACATTCGTACAAGTAAATATGAAGCGCTACACAACCGCAGTGACTACAGTAGACATCGACTATACTCTGCATTCAGATACGCCTTTGTGAACAAGATATCTGTCACAGTAAACGCAGCGAGAAATTCCTTACACACATAGTTTTGCTGTTTGTATTAATCTGAGATTTATTTAGAGCAACATTGTTTACGAATATGGGTGTGGCAATATATTACTAGGTATATTTTTGAAAAATGAGTCTGCTATCGTCATGTGATTTATATTAAGCAGATAGCTATCTAAAAATATCACAGAGAATGTAGTACTTTGCACCATTATATTAATTATGTACTAAAAGTACATATTATCCGCAGTAATTATGTTTTCTTTTAAGTTCTACTAAAGGATATTAGCATGATACAGTCATATTTCAAACCTCCACAGGGCATGGTACTCGTTTACTAGTATATGGGCAGAATTTGTAAAGTTAAAAAAACAAAGTTTTGAAACTAATCCAAAAGTCTGATATAAATCTCCTAGATTTCAATCTAAAAAATACAAATTTGTATTCAATTCACATTGAAATGAAATGAAATTTTATCCTCAACGGTCGAAATGCCAGTACAATGCTCCACTGCAATCAGCAGCCGGCCGAACTAATTTTATTTGCTTTGACTATAAACTGCAACGTAAATCTGCGGGCAAAAAAGAATACGTATCTATCGAGTGGACCAAGGAAATAATGTCACATCACTAAATGTTCACCTAAAAATGTTTTTGTGCCCAATAGAGAGTAGACGAGATAAGTATCATAAAGTATTGGACAAATTTGCCATGGGAAGAATTGAACTATTTTTACGAGAACACATTATGCCTCCGTAGCTGAGCGTTGCGATTAAATTTAGGGCCCGTTTACGGCCGTCCATACCACATGAGTTACGACTATACGGCAATAAAAGTATTGTATTATTGCTTTTGAAGGCATTCTCCAGGAACTATAGATACAACATATCTATCTGTCTAAATCCGCCAATCCTTTTTGTTCGTACTTCTAATTCATTAGACAAAAGAGAGACCACACGACGTTTATCAACAGTTTTACAGTTTATCGAATGTAATGATATCCGACGTTGAGTGAAATACTTGAAGCGAAATATTATTGTTCTTATGTCTGTTTATATTTTTCTCAGTTTTATAGTCACGGACTTCAGAAACATGAAATTTTTGGAGACACCTAAGTTAGCTACGTCCTTATTTATTTGTAATAGTATCAGTGCGGTTCCAGGTAACCTAAACGCTTTTATTGGAAGTGAGTTCGCGTCTCAATTTTATAATAAACTGGAGAGGAAACAAAGCCTAACTTCATGTAATATTTTATTTTAGGAAAGTATAAATTACAAACATAAGTTTAGAATTACTATAATTTAAGCAATTGAGATAACAATATACGAAATATACTCGTATAATTCCTTATTTTGGTGCTATTGTTTTGTTCGAAACAAGGGTTTTCTATTTAACTACGGCCATAAAAGTTACTACCATCAAAACTAGTGAGCTAACATCGAATAACATTTAGGAGAATAAAGTGAATCAAATATGGACAATTTGTTACATATTATATTGCTTTGTAAGTCTATAAAGTGATGGTTGACTTAAATAGGGCTGTGAATAATTAACAAAACCTACTGTATTCAAACACAGCTTTAAAAACTGTAGCCTATACTTTCAAAAACATATTAAAATATTAAGTAATTAAGTGCGAAGGTATAGTAAGCAATATTTTGTTGGAATTGTAGGTTAAACCAAACACCTACAGTGCCTGCGTAGGCGTATGGATTATAGTATAAAGTTCAACGGGCACCTCCTACATAGTAAATAGAATTATGTATACGCTTATTCAATTTATTCCCGAACGGAAACGGGAGAATTGTTTTACTTTCTTTTTATTGTATAATTATGAAGCACTATAAAGGTTGAATAGACATGCCTACATATGCCTAACGCCCTGAAATAGTTTCAGGATATTTTTTATAAATTTAAACCAGAAAGGCTTACTTATGCTCGTACACAAGCTAACACACCGGTTTATTCGTGAATAAGATCTGTTTTTACTGTTACCAGACTCGGAAATAATGAAGATAATGAATTACTCCTCCTACATGGTACATATTATACACCCACACTGACCGTGTAAATAATAGCAATACGACTTACGCATGTAGGTCAGAAACACGCATGCGCACAATACAGCATATTTGGCGGACTTTTTTTGCTAAGACGTCCTATGTATTCATTACATATTACTTATTTGTTTTGCATTACAGATCTGCGAGACTATACAAATACTTGACCCGCTAATACAAAGATTATATTATATGTTTAAAATTGTATACGTAATGATTTTATCTCTTTTACTCTTCAGTGGGCGCGTTATAAAGAAGTACATTGTTTTTCTTTAACCTTTCAATGAAATAATTAAATTAAATTTTCCAAAAATAAAACTTTGCTACAAGTTGTACTTGTAATGTAATCCAACAGCTTACGATAACGGGACTATGGAATATTCATAGCAATTATATCGCTGAATTTACTGTTAACAGCTAAATACTCGTACTACGTTATTAACGTAAAAAAAATCTAAATTATTAGGTATTCATTTTAAATCGGTGTTGATTGCAGAAATTGTGGATTGTCCTAATACCTCACAATCATCTTGTTTAATGTTAGGTTATCAGGAAAAAGCCTCTTGTAACAACATTTATTACTGTAGCATACTTTTTGTCAGGTTTATAACCTCAGACTCTGTTTTTGCTAAATAACGATCAGTTTAAAGGATTTGTGTAGAAAGACACTTGTTGACACGGATGTTTCTAAACTACTGCTTATTCTAAAATGACTGTTAAAAGTTTATAGCTTAGGATCTTTTCACTATTATCATTAGATGCAATACACAAGCGCTACCTTGGTTAATTCTAGACATCATATTAAGATAAAACTAACTTGTGATTGAACACCGTTGGGTATCCGAAGTGGCGGTGGTCGGTGAACAGGTGCTCCCGTTGAACCAGGGCCATCGCTCTGTAACAAGTACACAGTCAACTTTATAATCTTGTAATGATTTATTATTTGTTAGATGGACTATTTTGCCCATTTTAAGAGGTTTTTCTTTGAATAGATTCACTTTATTTTTGTAATATATTTTTTAAATATTTTCGGCCGTCTAGTATACAACGCCATCTAGTTTTAAACTACACACAGCTTGTACTATGAAAGCTAGATTGACTGATAGAAACATTTTTAACTTTTTTTTTTTGTAAATATCTACATATATTATACATAGAAAACACTGAAACTCAGAAACAAATATTTGCAGATCATACAAACATTTGGTACGACCCAGGAATCGAACCCGAGACCTCAGCACAGCAGTCGCATACGCTACTACTGCACCATCGAGGCAGTCAATTTTAAATGTAAAGATGCTCTCTCTTAGATTCCTATTAATATAAATCACTATAATGCCACATGTATGTTGAACATAGACAATCATAACGAAATGTAAGGACAAAGTCTGAACTTCAAAAGATAAATCCTACAATTTATCCCTGTGTCGCGAGTTTACGAACATACAATTAACAGACACAAAGTACAAGGCTCGGAACAATTCTTTGTAAATCGCAACACTCGTAGTCACTTAAAGAATAACAACAGGCAGTTTATTAATTTAAAAGCCAATTTAACTTTAAGTTTTAATTCAAAGTGAAGGAGAACTTACAGAAACTTAATCAAAATTGTGCACTTCAAGAGAGCTTCTGTAATTCTGTTAAAATAAACGGATTCAACGGACTAAGGAATTAAATTTATCTTCATATATAAATTTACAAAAGGATATTATTGTTATATTTCTACATTGATTATGGTCGAAAATTTCAGAGCGACTTTAAGTACTGTTTTTTTTTAATTCCATAGTTTATGCTTACTACATATTAGCTAGCAGAACGCTTTATGTGAAAAGATACATAAACATAAAATTATCAGAAAGGTTATTTATTCAACGTGTGAATTAGTCTGATAAACGAAATAGAGATTACATAATTTATACAAGTTACAAGTTTTAGATTTGCCCGTCTCCACCAACAAAACGACTCAACAATACTCGCTAACATCAAACGTTCTGATTTGCTAACTTGCCAAGTTTACTGTACCAAATGTATTCTACCATTCATCAACATACATGTAACAACTTCCCCCGAGTGATCGAACTTCGTGGCGCCGTTTTGGACTTAACAACATTAAACTTAATTACAGTGTACGCTCGCTGAATATTTCAGCAGATATTAACTAGTCTAAGATACGGCGGGCGCTGTGGCGCAGGCGGCTCGAAAGATTTCAAGTTAGTCGTAAAAAGGCCGGTCACGTATAAGATGACCCCTTTAATCAGTATCCACACGATCATACCCCTTTTAACGTGTTTGTGGTTCTTAAAAAACCAATACAGTTAAGACACGCAAATTTTAATAATAAAATGTATTTCTAAACAGCGGAAGTTGTAAAACTTGCGAAAAGTTGTATCGCCACCGGCTTAGTTAAGCATATTTTAACAGCACCGAGGAGACTCAATACAAAAGATGGTGGTATTCACAAGTTTGCTAGCAAATTTAAGTTTCATGAAAATACCACATTTTCCTTGTTGATATTGCTTTGTAGAACCTACACCGTAACAATAAACACCATTGTGTGCCGATAAGCTCACAGTTATAACGAAATTTCTCTCGATTTACACAACCTGCGCAATAACGAGGCGAGGATATCTCAGTGCTCGTTTACAGGCGAGACACGCATCTGTTATTATTTATCATAGACGTTGGGAGAGAGAACATATTTGTGTAGTCATTGGCCAAATTCATTTTTTTACCTTGTTGTGTGAGATATGGGAACGCTGGTGGTGTATCCTCACACCGTTCTGTGGTGCGTGCGCCGGCTTCTTGAACTCGCTTTCCCGTCGTGACGGAGGGCCTGTCAACAATACAGATACATCATTAGTATATTATACGTAACTCACACTTGAAACCGGCAGTACCGCACCGGGCTTATTATGTAACAGCACGAACTAGGACGTTAATATTATCGAGGTAATTGTATTCGAGCCCATTCGTATATGTGGTGATATGTCTGAAGGTGTTAGGAAGTTCTACCTAAGGGACCATTTAACTGACGTCAGTTTCCACATGAAAAGACAAAGTAATTATTGTTTGGTGTTAACGTTTACGAGCGAGGCCTGAGATTTTTATGGATTAATAAAAGAACGACATCACCTCAGTGTAGCAAGTCTCGAAATCATAAGGCACTTTAACTCCCGTATAACTAGAAGATGGGGGTGGAGGTTGCCACCCCGGCGACCGCCCCTCGGGACTCTCGTGAGGGGAATCTCGGCTAGGTGTTTAGCTGGTTTATGGAGATTGCGATCAGGACAAAGGAGTCCAAGTTACGACGCCTAGATTGCGCGCTGATCCATATAGTCCCCTCTAAATAGATAGCTACCTCACCTTTTTCTATCAGAAAGTTATGGAATGAGTTTTATAGTGTTTGTATTATGTGTAAGTCTATAACGTGTAATGGAAACGAACTATATTATATTTGCACCAGCTTCTAGTGAGTAATAGTTAAGCAGATTTTATTAAATATTTTAGGATAGTGACATCACTGCAGGGAGTAACCTTCCAAAAAAGAAATTTAAAATCAAATTTTCGAATACTAGGAGTATTTGAAAATTTGATTTTAAATTTCTTTTTCTGTATCTTTTTTTGTGGTTTTGAGTCTGACTATATTAAAGTTATGAATGAGAAGTGCTCGAATTCAAACATAAATTTAAATAATGTATGTACAAAACCGGCAGGGCATACATTAAAGATAAATGACTTATCGATGAAATATATCGATACAGTGACCGAGACTGTCACAGCGGTTGCATACATATATTACGTTTTAATATACGTACGGTCAACGATTCTAGACAACTTTCTTTGATAATTTCAAAGCAGTAGTGCCTTTTAAAAATAAAAGTCTGAGACTGAAGAACACAATCGCATTTTTTTTTCTGTCTGTTGACTGCGTAATCGAAAAATATACTTTTACTAAGACTGTAATTAGCTAGATCCCTAGAGAAAAATGTCTATTGGATATATCCAAGAGGGTTTTTTTTTGTTTTTATTTTAAAGAGTTCCATTTACATACATAGAACACAGAGAGAGAAACAGAGAGAGAGAGAGAGAGAGAGATATAGACTAACTATTCAGTCAAGCCTGAATTGTGAGTCTTGTCAAAAGTAGCGAACCAGGCTCGCTAAAATCTGTATCACAATCCTCATAGATTCCTTTGTTAAGCTAAAATAAGCGCTCGATAGCCGATGCCGAATGGATACCAATGTTTGTGTGATTTATCGTAGTAGTTTAGTGCTTTTTATTTGTACACTTGAAAACTCAGCACTTTCGAGAACAAAAAGTCAAACTATGTCGACGGTAGCAGATTACTGGAGACTGCTATCATGAAATCTTCCTTCCATTTGTATCGGAAAAACCAATCAAAAATAACTGCAAAATAATATTTATTTTCATTTCAAATAGGTTGGCATAACACGGATGATACGTCACTAGTGGCAGTTGACTGTGATTGGTGTATACGTTCCTTTCAGATTATTTCAATGCGTAAGTATTAAAATAGACCTAGACTAAATAAAAATTTTGGGTTGCATCCTTAAAATAATTTATTTACCTATAAGTATTTTATTTCTACTAACTATTTTTACTATTATTTTTACTAACCCATCTTAGAGTTCCGAAGAAAAATATGAGATTTTTTCCCATGCTCATTCTAGAGCAATTTTATTTTCTAAACGAAATAGGGGCATTTATGTAGCAATGCACTTTGCTTGTTCAATCACGGCAGCGCACGGTCGTAATATTGACATGTGATTGGACAATTACTATTTTCCATTACTGCTTCCACGAACGCTAATGCCTACATAACAAGATCCGATTATAACTGACTAAGCTATCGGATCGGTTTAATTCTTTTTGAATTAGGGCTGACGACGAATGAATGCATGGTTTAGAATTCAAAACCAGAATCTATATTACACTTTACATGCGTACCAATGGGATTAAAATAAATTTATTCATTCGAAAAGCGTTGAGTTTACCACAGCATTATTTAACTAATTTTTTAAAATCTTTACCTAAAAATGAACAAGAACTGATTAGATGTTCACATGCTCATTAATTGCGGAAGTCGTGAAGTGTCGTGTCCTGTAACTTCCAGGGAGTTGGGAATATTAGAAGACGGTACCCATTCCGCCTTTTTTATTTCTTTCTAGAGGACTGCTCTGTGCTTCTCCTATAGCATAATTTATTTTTAGGCCTTAGAAGAACTTAAATTAGTAGATAGTATATACTACTAATAACTTTTACATTTGACAACCCTGTTCAGACATCCATTGAGGTTATTTCCTCACTTATTAATAAACGCCTTGAATTCTGTCGACAGAACAGTTTCATATGATAGCTGATATGTATTAAAATGGAACCAGCCATCGTCTCTTATATCTTCATAAAGATGGTAGCGCCAGAAACAATATCGTTGTGGTCTGTACCTAGTGTATAGTACGTACACACACAAAGGTATAATCGATGCGACCGAGAGAGGTGGCAATTCTGTAATACGCGGCGACAGGTAGCCAGTATAGTCACTAACCATTACCCAGGTCCTACGCCTCATCATCCACTCTTAGTACAACAACATACAATGAGAACTACTGAATTTTATTATACATTAAATGAAATAAGTGTAACGAAATCGGAAGCAATCTGCTCTTAACAAAAGGTGACGGCTATACAATTCACAGGCCCCCTGCCCTCGACGATCGACACGCTCCCAATACCACTCTCCAATGCCGCATATAATGCTAGTTGATTTTTTTTTACTCTTTGCGTTTTATAAGACGGTTGAACACTATTATTCTTACATAAACGCCACCGACAACACCAGTGGTCGCGAACAATAGTTTTTCAATTGTGTCTGAAGTTGCAATACAGTGATACATAGCATTTATCGCATTACAATAATCGGAAACCGACATTTATTTTTGGTCAAAATTTAATCTACGGCAGATTATTACAAAAACCCGTTGAAAACCTTTTAAAGTAGGTTTTATTTAAGGCATAGGCTAGAATGACGAAATAAGTTCAGTTTTTACTGCATTATTTTAGTTTTCCTAAGCAAATATATAAGGCGAGTAATTATTATTATCTATGAAACAAATAAAACTCCAAATTGTCATTATTACTTACTTTAATGAAATTTCGATTTCGAATTACAACACATGATGATAAAAATCTCATAGGAATCTTTTCAAAAGCCACAATCTATTAGTTAATTTACTGCCTTCTTTATTAGATCCTACCACAACGCAATAAACTTTTTAATAAACTTTAACTACCCCTCCGGGGAATGGCGTTACCATTAATGTCTCGCGAAATAGATTTATTAATTGCGTATTAGCCGAGCAGCTTCATAATATTTAATCAATCATATAAATGTGTAATTAATATATAAATGAACTAAAAAGTGCAAGCTACATTTATGGTTAATTAAAGTGCCAATAAATTCGAAATGTAAGTTTTTTTGAGGAATGAAAATGTATTTTACAAATTACATTTTATTGCCATGTTGTTGTGTTCACAGTACACATGCTAATTTCATGATCTCTGTTTTTAAAAGACCAAGAAAGGTAACAAAAATCGATATATATTGTAGGGTACTATTTAATACCTAATAATAATAAGTCTAAAAGCGACAGAAGTTTTACCAAAGTTGGTGGCACTTTAGCGTTTACACGAGTACCGTGTGTACTAATGATACATGGTAAGCATGAGGTAGTTACTTTGCAGACTATTATTAAAGTGAAACAGAGCTATATGATACTTAACACACACTTGGGCTAATATATAAAACAATTAAATTAGATTTTTTGCAATTTGCACGCATTCGTTTGTAAGTGATATGGCAGGTGGTTGGAGGAACGCTTCGTCCTCATTTAAAAGCAAAAAGATTAAGAATGAATCAGCTGGCACCGCTGTTTGCAGACACGTAGGGTAGTTTTACTTCAGCGATGTAAGTACCTGAGGGGGGGGGGGGGGGGGTAGAACAATGGACAGGGCTAATTACTGCACCTGCACCTGCGGCTATTGACATGCATTCATACATACATATGTGCACTACGCAAGGCGCTTATTGCTTTACATACATTTAATGCCCACTTTACTAGTCATTTTAAATTAATATTTTTTGTCTGTCAGTCTATCTGTTTGTTCCGGGTAATCTTCAAAACGGCTTGACCGATTTTAATAATATTTTACCACCAGGTAGCTGTCTATATAAGGAGTAACTAAGGCATTTTTTCCATTAGAAAACCCCTATAAAATTTTACCCGGTCCGGGTAGCGAATCCACTAACGCAGCGCTTTTAGAATGCCACGCGGACGAAGTCACGGGCACTAGCTAGTAGTTACTGAGAAAGCGTCGTTATACAATAGAATGACTTCAGGGTTATTAACATCCTGAGGTTATACGAATTACATTAAAATAATTCCTAAATAGTTAATTTATTTTATCTCCTGCCAGGTGCTTGCTATAATCTGAATATACGTATGTGTGTGTGATACTGTAGAAAAGGAATGGTGTCTCGCAATTTTAATTTATTTTAGGATTGAATTGGATGTTTAGTTTAAAATTATACTTACACTTTACATAGCCTGCAATCCACTGACAAAATTAAACATAATGTCAAGATATATTGAAATACACGTAAGAAAATCTAAAGTCCATGACAAATGTTTGAGCCAAATCAAAATAATATTTTTTATTTTTACTCAATACCTACTTGTTGGCAGTAGGAGTAAATTGTAAAGCCAGTTATTCCAAAACGTAGTATAAAAGCTACTCAAGCACACAACAACAAGT